ACCGGTATGTATTTAGTTTTCCTGTAAGGAAGTTGGACAGTTCTACCATGGACCTCTAGGTGCAATTTGACATACCTCCTTTGACTCCTGTTTATCAACTCTGCAATTCAGTTTTCTTTCTTGCTTCCAACTCAGGTGATCTTTTTTTTTTTTTTTTTTGTTCCCCTGAAAACACTGTAAACTATTTTTTCTTTTAATTTTACCTTCCAGCAACTAAGTTTTGCTTAATTAAAATTTCATAATGTGGGACACAGGTGATACGGTTGTAAACAAGCAGAATAGGCTTGGGGAATGTATTGGTTTTTTAAAGACTTGGTTAGGAATTAACCTGGCAATAAACAATCTGAGAAACGTTTATCACTCGCCCACCCCCCCAAAAAGAAAAAAAAAATCCCTATCAGCTTTAAAATGGCAGGGTGTCTGCTTATATAAAGCCAGCAGTCGGACCAGTTGATAGGCTGGGGGGGGTTGGGTAAGGGGAGACACGGATGCCGGCACATTATTATTATTCTGCTGCTGCACACAGGTCTGAATCAGCTCTGAAAGCACGTACATTGTTTCTTACAGAATGTCTTTGGCTCCTAACAACAGAATTGCAACGTGATGTCTCCGCTAAAAATGCGATGACTCACAAATGAGTCAACAGAGAAGGTGTTGTAGGAGGCTAACTGCTGTGCTGTCTGCCAGGGCTTTGTAACGGCTGTAGGAGCAAGGCTGCCCATTAATTTACTCCGCTTCCTTTTCATACGGAATTTTTAAAAATCATCTAACCTATGGAGTTCTGCTCACGTCACCGCTCCCTGAAAATGCTGGTTTTGTAAGAGCCTCCTAAAATGGGTTAATTGAGATACCACATTGTACTGGATTTAACAGGCGTTTTCAGAACTCTGCTATTAAATTTAATTTCTGCTGACATCTGTAGTGCAGCTTGATGTGTTCATTCAGGAGCAGGGCTTTATCCTTGCCTGTCTCTATGCCACAAGAGGTGTCTTTACCAATTGGAATTGTAGATTGGGTTTCCAAAAGGAAAGGTATTTCAGGTCTGTCATGTTTTTGCATTGCTTTTCGCAGTTGAAAGGAAGGCCCCTCCACAAGCACAACTTCATGTAAATCTGCTGAATTTTAGGTATGATACCCAGTTGAGGTGAATAATGGGGGTACGTCATAGGTCACAATTACCAGCAAATTACATGAAGAGCTGTGAAAAAGGGTTATCTGCTAGGCTATGAGTCTCAAGAAAACTGAATCTGATCGTACCTGATTATTTTGTTTCTGATTACAATATGGGATTTGTTTCCAGTTATTGCCCTTCAAATTGCAAACACCATGTTACGTCTGTTGGGTTTGGGTTTCTTTGCCTTAAGCTTTTTAAACGGGTGTGGTGCATTGCAAATGGGTGGTGGTCGCCCAGCAGTTGCAGACTTTGCTGTGAGCCTGGATCAGTATTTCCATTCCTCACCAACACAACTCTTTGTTTTCACTAGCTGGGACTCCTTTTTTTGAACTCTCGGCCTTCGCTTTCCTAGATGAGTCCCTCCTGGAAGAGTGCCGGGGCTGTTGGCCGTATGGGAGGGGTATTTTCAGTCCCCCCTCCTGGCACTTGTGCGTGAGTAGCGTGCTTTGCTACTTGTTTTTTATCCAGTAATTTAACCAGATTTAACCAGTGCTTGAGTGTGAGGTGATTCCACCTTCTTCCCGTTGAATATGTGTCTGATTTGACTTGTGATAGCCTGTCCCTAGTCTGGAACAATCAAACCAACTTTTTTTTCCTCAGTGAATTGACTATTTGCTGATGTCATTTTACCCATAATTCTTACGCTTCCCTATACTCCTAGCATGTAATTCACCTGCTTTTTGGTTTTTGTTAAAGAAGTCTTGGGAATGCTGTCCGTGGCAGTGAATGACCAGCACCTCTGAAAACGTTTATTGGCTTCCTCTTTGCACTCCTTTAAGTTGAATTTTCTTCTCTCTACATTTAAGACCTTTTAAGATATTTTTCTCCCCTCTCTTCATTGAATCCAGTTTTTCTGGCTGCATCTGCTCGTAAGCCGGTTTCTTACCCGAGCAGATGTCACGTTGTTTTCATCTGCTGAGGAATGCAGGACTTCTCCTCAGCTGATCATGTTGTCTGGTCAGTTTGAAATGGTCTCGTACTTTCACTTCTTTCCACGTCCTCATACAGACTCGGCTGCTGGTTCAACAGTGGCTAGGTGAAATGCAGATTCTGATGGCTGCTAACTGAAGTCAAGTAATCATAAGGAGCTTTCTGCGTGCAAGTGTGTGTGCATTCTCTTTTTCACACGGAGGCAGTGCACTCACACAAATTCAGACATGAATCCACGTATGTTCATACGTGATGGCTGTTGCTCTGTCTCTCATGCACTCCTTACATGTAAGTTATTTTCAGAGCTGTCAAGTTCAGGGTCACTTCTTGTTACTTTTTTTTTTTTTTATGATTGACTAATGCTTAACACCCCTAATCCATGTTGGGTTGTGAGGTGTATCTGAGAAAACAACGTTATATGGAGGGTTCTGAGGTTTGTGGCAGATTCCAGTCTGAAGCTGCTGCACAGCTGCTGTCGTAGGTCTGATTTTGCTAAGCTTTGCCTTGCAGTTTGCTGTGTAACAGACGTTGCCTTGCCCTCCATGGAAGTGGATGTTCTCTTCACAAAACCAGCTCTTGCTCATATGCCGGGTCTGATTTGACAGGTGCCAAGCCTGGTTGGCGATGTTTTGGCCTGAGAAGCCAACTCTGTTCTCTGTAACTCACTGGCATCTATACAAGTGCTGGGGGGACGAGTGAGTGAGTGGAGTTGACACAGGACGAACTGCTCCACAGAGCTAGTGGTTAGCCTGAACGACTTAAGCACAGGAGACCCACCTTTGACTTTGCCCCCTGCCATAGAAACCTGCACATGAGCATATATACTCATGCTTAATGACCTGTTGGAGATGATCAGACGTTAGGTCATGAGCGAGTAAAAAAACCCATCATAACAGAGTAGAATATGGTTTCATATTTTGGTCTGTATTTTACCCAGAGCCCCAGGGGAAAAAAAAAAGGCATAAAATTAAGAAGTGTCCTGCCTTTTTGCATACCAACCTTTTCAGTTTGGAAATTAGAGTGGATATTTTCTGGGAAAACCTAACGTGATTTGAATGTAAGTTGTGGGAAATCTCAGAAAGTCTGGATTCTGGTCTAAATGCTCATGTGCCGCTCATCCCTTTACACACCTCTTGAATTTTAAGCTGCTTTTCCAGTTTTCCATTTTTGTTTGGAAATTTAGGGAGTAGACTCTAATTTGATGTTTGACTCGCACCTATGAAGCTCTTAAGAGGGTTCTCTTATAGTTTGCCTGCCTTTCCAGTTTGGGTCTCATCCTGAGTTTGTAAAACAAAATGTGTGTGGAAATAACAAAACTGACGTCTGTTTTTCTCAATCCTTGCATACAGATTAAGTTTTTATGTGCAATTTTGTTGAGCAGTTTTGGGAGTGGGATATGGAAGGATGTGAGAACTGCCAGATAAGAGTTTACTCTCGTGCGAGACACAGGAGATGGTTCCCCTTTGTCTCGGCAAGCCTTCCTCTCAAAAACTAGTGACAAGACTCTAATCACTAGATAAGCCTAAGAAAAATTTCTGAGAGGATTTCTTTCTGGTTTGTTTTTTTTTTTCCTGCTGTCTCTATCCTTTGTAGAAGTAATGGGGTGGAAAGCTGCCCTTTTTTAGGCTTGATAACTAAAAAAAATGGATGATTTGGAAGGATTCAAAAAGTGCCTTGAAATGAGATTATAACTAGCTATTTCTTACATACTTTCACTCATCCTTGATTATTTTTTTTGCTTAATCAATGGGCAATATGAATAATCAAAGCTTTGCCCTTGATTATCCCTTACAGTTTGGCTTTAATCAAGGTACTAATGCAAACGGAGTACAGTCTAGCCTCCTTACGCTGCCTTGTACATCCCCTCGCTGGTGTGGTGCGCTGGAAATCGTTATCATAGTATTTCAGGTTTCCAGCGTTTGAATTTTCTCTTTTGGCTTTCTTCGTTCCACTTTTCCATATCCCCCCATGATATATTTTGTGTACATGAAGGGCCGTGGGCTGTCAGTCTTTTAATTGGTTATTAGTCTTTTGCAATACGTGTGACTGAACACCCCGGAGGTGTTCGCTTGACTTACGCCTGTAATTCTGTTGGTTGCTGCGTGGTTACGGGCACGGACTCGGAATTACTCCTCCAAGCAAAGGTACGTGCTTAGGGAAGGCAGGATTTGTCGTCTGTGAAGACAGGGTGTGTAAGGAACTGAAGTTGGAGGTGGCTGCTGCTCGCAGAATTCCCACGGACCTTCAGCGGATGGTGGGAGGAGGATCATGGCCATCCTAGATTCGCACGGCTCTCTTGGGAGCCCAATGCAGCGTGAAGCTGTCCCTTGGGAGCCAGGCTCCTCGGAGGGAGCCAGCTTCTCCAGTGCCAGCGGGCGCGCTCGGACCGTGTTGGATCCAGCCTCCAGTGCATCATCGGCCTCTGCCAAGGTTTCCGCTACGATCTCGCTGGGGCTTTGTGTGTCACCCGCTTCCAACGGCGAGTTGATCTTAGCGGAGTGATATTCTGGCTCTTGCTGTTGGAGTGTGCTGCTGTGATTCTGACCATGCAAGAGGAAAAAAAACCCGAGCAAATCTAAATAAAACAACAGTGGAATTAGGCAAATGGTTTACTTTTTTAATCTGCTTTCCCCTTTTTAAAAAAAAAATACAATTTTCATGAGTTCTCTTCTTTTACCTTTGGCCGTTTCCCAACCAGCCCGGTGTAGTTACATCTGGTGGGAGTGAAGGGTCTGCAACGGCTGCAGGTTTTTTGAAGTTGTAGGTGTCACGTAATAATGTATACAGCACTGAGTCTCTCCGTAGCTTGTGACCTGCTGGCGTTATAATGACTGTCTGAGACCCCATGCGCCTGGGGCAAAGTGCATCCTTTGTGTTACACGCTCCAAAGCCCGTCATGGTGCATTCTTACCAGCGTGTAAAAAAAAAAAAAACACCCAGAAAGTACAATTCAGATGTATTACTTGTCCATGAGGTAATTGGAGAATTTCTAATGGGCCCTGATGCAAGCAAATAACCCTTGTGCCTAATCAGCAGAGAGACGGCGACCTTCCTGCTTCAAAGAAGAAACGCCAGGCAGGGGAGAAGATTATGTATACTTTGGTCTCTGTGCCACATGGAAATGACATCGCATCTCTCTTTGAACTGGATGCCACCACTCTTCAGAGAGCTGATTGCCTGGTTCCGAGGTATAAAAAAAGAAAAGGGGGGAGAGGGAAAGGGCAAAAAGTAGTGCTGCACTGACAGGGCTTCTTCCTAGCGTTATGCTGGTGAGTAAAGCGGAAGAAAATCAAACACGAGCAAGTATTATCCTTCAGTTAAAATTTGAGGAGTGTTCATGGATAAACAAGGGATGTATAAAACATGATACTGCCGCTGTGACTGGGTAAAATAATTATAAAGGTAAACCAAGTGACACTTAAATAGAGTCTGTGAAGAGAAAAATAATGGGCTAAATATGGCACGTCTCTATACGGACAGAATTTGAGCCCTGTTTGAAAAAACTGTACTGCTAATAGATCTAACTGAATTTTCCCAGCACACTAACGTGTTTGGTGAACTGGGCTTCTGTTTCCCTGACAGATCACGATGCCGCCGAACGCATTTGTTATTCAAATGACTTCAGCAAGTGGCTTGTGGGTTTTAATTGTGAATATTTGAAATTTCAACTGCGTTGCTTAGCGGAGATTGGCTAGAGAAGTCACACGGTGTTGGCTGTGATTGAATGGGCACGCAGACACTTGGGGCTAGCTGTTATGGGGGTGGATTTTAAAGCTGGTTACCCACAAATACTGATGTATGCGGCTTTGAAGTGCATTTGCTATGCTAACTTTTGCCAGATAATTTGCTTACTTCAGTGCTCAAAGCCCATCAGCATGAAAGGGAGAGCGTGAATGAAGACCACAGTGAATATATTTAAAAAATAGAATTCAGCGTAAAAATTGTAATTGATTTCTCAGCTCTGCTTTTTGATAATACCACAGATTATCATATGGAAAGAATTTAGGAGAATCTCATGTCTGCTCTTTGTTCACTTGATTTTCAGTTGCAAACTGGTACTGTAAATGCTTGCTCCCTGGAACCAAGGGTTTGCAGTTCATAATGGTGAAGCTGTGAAACCGTGGTCAATTTTACTTTCTGGCTTTTGTGCTGTGACAGGTTGAAAGGGTTCGTTACTTTGCTGAAAAAAATAATATGAAAAGAATTGGGTTTATTCATGAAATGTTTTTCTATTCACGTGGGATTTTATAAAACCTTCGTTTTAATTTTTTTTTTCTTTAAGGAATACTTTACTCCTAGGCTTATATAAATACTTAAAACTAGCTTTCGGCATAATCCCAAGATGCTGTTTGTTCTTGTTGGAGCTCTGTTCTGGCTGGGAAAGGAGGAGACAAGGGAGAAGGGTACTGCACTTTTGGGTCTCCCTTGCCCTTTTGTTACGAGTGGCTGGCGTGACTCACGCCCTCAAATCTCACATCATGGCCATGTGTTGCATTGCGTCCCACCGTGCCCACTTTAGCTCAGGACCGATCCATCTAACCTATTGTTTGCTTTGTTCTCCTTTAGGAACTCCTACGTCCGGCTGAGGCATTTGTGCACTAACACCTGGGTCACTAGTACCAGCATTCCAATAGACACTGATGAAGAGAGGCCTGTGATGTTAAAGGTAAACATATCTATCTTGGGGCTGAAATCCCAAACTTGTTCCTGAAGTTCTCTACTGGTGATCTCACTTCTAACGTATAAAAGGTGCATAATAATTAGGATAAAGGTAAGACCGTTGCTTACCCATTTTAAACGAAAACCCATTGCAGATTGGGACATGCCAAACAAAAGAGGACAAGGAAGCTTTTGCTATTGTATCGGTTCCTCTGTCTGAGGTCAGAGACCTGGACTTTGCCAACGACGCAAACAAGGTTCTAGCATCAACTGTTAAAAAGCTGGAGAATGGAACAATAACCCAGAATGAAAGGAGGTTGGTCAATTTTCTTTTTTTTCTCTCCTAAATTGGTGTTTGGTTGCTCATGACATCGTGGCATCACAGTAGAGGGTACGTTAGTAACATCCGTGTGGACACAGGGGCGACTGGGAGAGGACACTTCAGTGCCGAGCATGCCAGCCTGGGATCATAGAATCATAGAATCACGGAACAGTTTGGGTTGGAAGGGACCTTAGAGCCCATCCAGTTCCAACTCCCCTGCCATGGGCAGGGACACCTTCCACTAGACCAGGGTGCTCCAAGCCTCATCCAGCCTGGCCTTGGACACTTCCAGGGATGGGGCATCCACATCTCTGGGCAACCTGTCCCAGTGCCTCACCACCCTCTCTGTGAAGAATTTCTTCCTGACATCTAATCTAAACCTCCCTGATTTCAATTTGTACCCATTACCCCTTGTCCTGTCACTACAGGCTCTTGTAAAAAGTCCTCTCCCAGCACCCTTGTAGCCCCCTTCAGATACTGGAAAGCTGCAATGAGGTCTCAGATTCCACCTTTGTCAGAGCATCCTTGCTGCACCTCCGGGTGGTCTGTGTAACTCGTCTGTAAAATGGGGATAAACAGCCCTTCTTGTGTTCACACCCGCCCTTGAATTAAGAGATTCTGTTGTACGTCCTAGCCAAATATATCCCACTGCCAGTGATGTGGTTCGCAATTTGTTTTTAGCTGTCTGTGGTTAAACTGAATATTAGACAGCATCTCTGGCAGTGTTAATTTGTAACTTCTGTTCCACCGTGCATCACATACAGCTTTTTGCTGAAAATGTTAATTCTTGGTGATAAAGCTGAATTTTCGCTGTCGGTTGTCAGTAGCAATTAGACCAGATGGTTTTCTCTCAGGTGGAGGATTTATCGTAGCAGGCAGATCTGTAATGGTCTGGGTGTTGGTACTCAGCCTTGAAAACCTGATGGGCCATTTCATGATTGAGCTGAAGCAGGGAGGGAGACGACATAATTAAGGTGTGACGTCCCTGTCTCAACCTTGCACTGCTGTGTCACCACAACTCACTGTCGTCAAGGCTTGATGTTGGCAGATTGGTACAACACGCGTGTAAAACATTTCAGACTGCTTTTGGAATACTGCCATTATTTGTTTGTTCCTGTTATTTCCTTTGGGGAGAAAACCCACCTCTTTTCCCTGCCTTGTCACCTTCCAGTTTAGATAAGTAGGGAGTCCCAAAAGTTTATTTCTAGTTGCTGCATCCTACATCTGCCTTTTCTTCTTTTACTGTGGGGTGGGGACCTTGCTGTTCCCCACCGTTGGGCTGAGACTTGTCAAGCTCGAGCTCACTCAGAGGGTTGAGCTGAACAGCCCAGGCCTGTTGTGGGTCAGGGAAGCTTTGTGCCTGCCCCTCAGAGCTGACTTTGAAAATCTACTGGGCATCTTCCTGCCGCTTTCATGGCATGCCTGCAGGGTTAGTAATTATTGACTAATGATGTCCAAATTCAGGTGATGCTTCCCCAGGGTAGGAGACACGCTGGGTTTTGTTTGTAAAAGGTTGCAAGTTCCTTTAAGGGAGATCCACTGGAATCTGTGGGCATCTATACTCCTCTTCGTGCGTTCCTGGTGAGGTATGTTGGTAACAAGAAGGCAGTGACCACCTTCCTTTTGCATTTCTCTAAAGGTAGGGGAGAAGGAATTACTACTCTGTCCTTTTCAGCACTTGCTTCTGCCAAACCTCCTTTTGTGTAGCAAACAGTGAAACAAATATAGTAATTTTTCAATAGTTCCTTGGGTCAGTAGGGAAATAGTCTAGTGGCAGAATGTTTTTATTCCTCTAGGGAGTGCATCATCTTGTTTCATGGACCCATGTCCATGATGAAGTATAAAAGTCCTTGCTAGGCTGTGTAACAGTGTCCTTCTGTTGTTCCTGGACCTGGAGGCCAGCTGGTATAGATTTTGGATTTCTGAACACTCTGCATCAATCCTGCATTCTGTATTTTTCTCCCTTTTCCCCTCTGGTGGTTGTTTAATACCTTGGTAAACATCCCTGTGATGGATTTAAGTCTCTGCTGAAACCAAGGTCTCCGTAAGTACATGTCAAACTTAACTTTGCAGTGATTGAAGTTCCATTGTGCTAGATAAAGCTTGTGCTGAGAAGTGATTTTCTGTCTTAATGAATCCCAGCAAGTGTTGAATGACTGCATATAATAATGATTTGTCTATTCATTCTAGGTTTGTAACCAAGTTACTGGAAGATCTCATTTTCTTTGTTGCCGATGTGCCTAATAACGGGCATGTCAAACTTAACTTTGCAGTGATTGAAGTTCCATTGTGCTAGATAAAGCTTGTGCTGAGAAGTGATTTTCTGTCTTAATGAATCCCAGCAAGTGTTGAATGACTGCATATAATAATGATTTGTCTATTCATTCTAGGTTTGTAACCAAGTTACTGGAAGATCTCATTTTCTTTGTTGCCGATGTGCCTAATAACGGGCAGGAAGTTTTGGATGTGGTCATTACCAAGCCAAACCGGGAACGACAAAAATTAATGAGGGAACAAAACATACTGGCTCAGGTACGTCCTGCCGTATTAATGACTTGCTTGTACTTACAAACTGGTTGTAGGATATGTTTAGGTAACTTGGCTTATGCCGTGTTGGTTTGTGTCTGAACCGGAGAGAAGCACAAAGGGCCATGTCTGATGGCTGTTTATTTCATGTGATCCCGGTGACTTTTAAGACTACATTTGATAGCTGATTGTTGATGAAATTTGAAACAAGCTTGGAATGTGGTCCCAGTCCTGTGAGTACTCCCTGTATAGGAAGAATTCGGAGCCCATATGGATGTGTGACTTTGTATGAGGTCTGACTGGAAGCAAATAAACATTAATATTGTCTTTAAATAGCCTACTGAAATGGAAAAAAAAAAGGTGAAAAAGATGTAATTGGACAGTAGCCAGTATTGTTCTCCTTTTTCATCCTTAATTTATCCAAAGCTAAGGCATTTATCCCCAATTTTAAACACTGTTAGCAGTAAAGAGAAAGCACTGTCAACCAAGCTGGTGGGAAATGTACAGCTAAACACAAAAAGCTGTAATCTCTGAGCTGTGCCCCCACTTGTGTTTACTTATCCATAGGTAAGTGCAGTAATTCCCTTCTGACTTTGGTCGATCAGGCCCTTGTGCTGATCCTCTCCGAGGACATGTCCCTTGACTGCTATTAGTGAAGCAAAAATCTGGGTTTGGTTTTCATCCCCAGTGATTTTTATTTTGAGCAGATATTCGGCATCCTCAAAGCTCCTTTTAAGGACAAAGGCGAAGGATCCATGCTGAGGCTTGAAGACCTAGGTGACCAGAGATATGCTCCGTACAAGTACATGTTAAGGTTATGTTACAGAGTTCTCAGGCATTCCCAACAGGACTACAGGAAGAACCAGGTCAGTGGTATTCAAGATAATTTTCCTCCTGATTTCTATAATTATGTATCCTGGGCTTGACATTGCTCTCTGCACTTCTAAGTGGGATTCAGTGGGAATGGTGAAAGGACTGGGTTCTTGTGTAGGTTAGCAGTAAGAAGTCACTGTCATATACTGCCTCATGCTGAGGAAGGGTGTTTTTTGCTATAAAGGTGTTTGTATATGAATTGAGCATCATCTGTTCGCCTTATACGTCCCCGGGCTCAGACTGAGATTGGGCTCCACTGCTTCATGCCTGAGTTATTAAAATTATGCTCTTGGACTCCGCATTATAAAGTGGAAAGTCTGCAAAGCTGTCTGTTTCTCTTGCTTAAACATTTGTAGAGGGGTGACAGTGAATCAGACCAGGGGTTATTCCGTCAGGTAGCCTGATTTCCCACTGCTGGAGACTCCCTGTGAGCAAGAAGTATTTCAGAACGTGGTGTCGAGTGCTTTCTTTGCACATTGCAGCAGGGAAAACTGCACTGACTTCACAGGGACTAGAGAGAAAAGATTGAACTGCTCTATGTGGCTTGTTTTCTTTCTAATGCTTTGCAGAAATATTTCTGTCTTGGGGGGAGGGAAAGGGAGGAAGGAGGGAAGACTCAGGAAAGAAAGCTGCTTAAATGTTATGAAAACCTTTCGGATTTTCCTTTTTAAAAGAATGGTTGCCCTTTTGTGAAATTTTTATATGTTTTCATAGACTTACTCCTTTGTCTATGGAAGAATAAGAGTTCTTAATCCCTAATATTGAATCTGTTTCTTGGGGTACATATTTCAGATGTTCTTTTGCTCAGGTCAGTTCAAGGGGGAAAGTTTTGCGGGTTATTTTGATTGCTAATTGAGCCGGAGGCTTCTGGTTCTGAAAGAAAAACATTGCTGCTTTAACAGGTCATCATGGGAATTTTCATTTTTTTTCAGGAATATATTGCTAAGAACTTCTGCGTCATGCAGTCCCAGATTGGTTATGATATTCTGGCAGAAGACACCATCACAGCTTTGTTGCACAACAACAGAAAACTGCTAGAGAAACACATCACAGCTAAGGAAATAGAGACGTTTGTTAATTTACTCCGGAGAAATCGAGAGCCGAGGTTTGAAGTGATCCACCTAACATTCTTGTTTTGTATTGATAGGCTTCTGTATGTGCAGTAGCTGTGAATCTGCCTGCTATTCATAGTTCTGTTGTCTCTTTCTCCCAGCTTGGTTTTATTTTTGACTTGGCAGACAACAATCCCACATGTGCAGCGTCACGCTAGAAAATATCAGAACTACCTGTACTTCTCAGGGTTTGCATTTCAGAACTAAAACTTACTGATAAGAAGCTTTATACTTTACAGGGCAATTTAAAGAATCTGGGGTTAGTTCAGATTGAGACAAAGAGAAACAAGCAGAAATTTTAATTTCTGAAGCTCCTCTGTGAAACTGCCACTTTTGTTGGTTCCCCTGCTGATAACCTTGGTGCAAATTACACAGATGTCAATTTTTCTAAGCTTTCATTAATATCAGTTTTCCTGCATGTTCTGATTCCGGGTCAGACTTGAAAGGGGCCTAAGGCAGTGAAGATCCCAGTGAACATATGTCCTAGACTAGATCTTGTGCCAAATGAAAAATTCTGGCCTTGAACTTCACTCAGTTGGAATTTTTTTTTATTAGCTTTAGGTCAGAATATAAAATAAATGGACTTTTTTTAAAAATGGAAAAGTCTATCTTTTTTTTCATTGACTTTTCAGTTGTAAAATTACCAAAGTAATACAAATATAAGAAATTTACCTACAAATATAAGAAATTTACCTACTGAAGTCCAAATAATGTCCTCTGTAATTGTGCATACTGTTTTTCTTTTGGCAATTAAGGGTATGGCTCACGGCCCTGGTGCTTCGCTGCTTCCATTGTTCTCCATTTGTCTGCAGCCGTTTTGCCTCCCTCTGTAATCTCATGGCCTTTCCCACGCTAAACTGCGTCAGGTTTGGTCAGTACTAGGAGGAAACCACATGAGATCTGCTCCTTCTTAGTGCTGATGGACAATCTGAAGCCACTTCCTGGTGGAGGATGTCACAGTATTGGTGCATCACTAAACTGTGCAGTTGCTGTGCGTTAAAAATGTACATTCACTTCTTCAAGGCTGAAGTCTGAGAGCAATAAATGTTTGAAAAATACACCTTGCCAGGATGGTGCAATTTGAGCGGTAAAGGCACTTATTTTGGAGAGTCTTGTAGCCTTCTGCAGCACTGCTTTGTGTGAGCAAGAATGGTGGTAGTATGCTCTCAAACACGAGAGCTCTGAAATTTTCCAGGTTTCAGCCCCAACAAGGTAACTCACCCAGAATTCTGTGTAATTATGTCCTTTTATGCTTTTGATGCAATATTGCTGTGCAGTGTTAATGACCTGTTGCCACAAAGCTTTCATTCCAGCGATGGGTAAAATTGTTCCGAAGGGTACCCTAAAACGCTTTTCTTCCAGTTCCCAGGCTTCTGTGGGGAGCATGGTCTGTGGTAATGCAGAAATGATTCTCCGATTCCCTCCGTTAGGATGGTGACCTGTAGAGGTTCAAACTGTGGGATCCTTGAATGGCAGATAGTAGATGGTCAGATTTTTCATCTGGATTTCTAAGGATGTGGAGTATACATTCTGTGCCTGCTCATATGAATTGGCAAAGATTGTATGTTGATAAATCACAGAATCACGGAATGGTTTGGGTTGGAAGGGACCTTAAAGATCATCCAGTTCGAACCCCCCTGCCATGGGCAGGGCCACCTTCCACTAGACCAGGTTGCTCCAAGCCTCATCCAGCCTGGCCTTGGACACTTCCAGGGATGGGGCATCCACAGCTTCTCTGGGCAACCTGTCCCAGTGCCTCCCCACCCTCTCCGGGAAGAACTTCATGGAAATCTAGTCACGTGTTCTCTCTCGAGCACATTAGTGATGGCTGATGGAGATTGCTGCTGCAGTGTCTCTGTGCAGTATGTTAAATCTCATGTTCTGTTGCACCTGTGTATTTTTGACTGCAGATTCTTGGATTATCTATCCGACCTGTGTGTATCTAACACCACCGCGATACCGGTAACTCAGGAACTCATCTGCAAGTTTATGCTGAGCCCGGGCAATGCTGACATTCTCATTCAGACCAAGTGAGCATCCATAATGGGAACAGACCTTTTCGTTATCTGCTCTGTTACCTTCGTAGCAGCTTGCTGGTGGCTCCTTTGTGAATGATTTCTGTTTGCAGGCTGGTTTCAACGCAAATGGACAATCCCTTGGAATGCCCAGTCATCTCGGATGACATTGATGAAGAGGAAGTGTGGCTTTACTGGATTGACAGTAACAAGGAACCTCATGGCAAAGCCATCAGGCATCTGGCTCAGGAGGCGAAGGAGGGCACAAAAGCTGATTTAGAAGTCCTTACCTACTACAGGTAAAACTGCTTATTCAGATGGAAGAAAATGTAAACTCTCCAAAGGGCCTGGTGCTGTTCTTATCTGGATCCTTAGCTAATATAAAAAAATGAAACTGGGATTAAAATACCATGCCAGAAACCGGGATTAAAAGCTTGTTTCGAGTTTTTCCTGCAGGAGCATTGCACTCTCTGCTGTCTATTCCAATTAAACCTTGTTTCCTTTGCTCCTGACAGCTCTTTGTGTCTTTTTGTCGTTTCACCTCCTGTCTTTTATTTACTGGGCTACAGTTTTAGGTTGTGCTGCTCTGGAAGCAGGGCATGCTCTGAGGGAGGAGTGTCATGAGCATCCTGAGGGTTAGAGGGGAGATGGGATCAGGGAACAGTATCTTACACAGACTGAGAACCAACAGTCCAAATGCTTCAGCCTTCCGTTGAACAATGCTTCCCTTGAGTTTCAACGGGACCCCAGTCTTCATGGGGGCTGGAGCCTGACATCAGCATTTCTAGTGACAAGTTGGCCCCTTGGTTAGCAAAGTCACTCTTGTCATTTTTAGCATTGACATCAGAAAGGCTGACATTAGGCTTGCAAAGTGAGATTCTGAAGTATGTTGTTTCATCGGATTTGAAGAAATCGGTTGGAAATATGTTATTTTTCTTGAAGGTACCAACTTAACCTCTTTGCAAGAATGTGCCTGGACCGCCAGTATCTAGCCATCAACCAGATTTCTGCACAGCTCTCAGTGGACTTGATCCTCCGCTGTATGTCTGATGAAAGCCTCCCTTACGACCTCCGGGCTTCTTTTTGTCGGCTGATGCTGCACATGCATGTGGACAGAGATCCTCAGGAATCTGTGGTACCTGTCAGATACGCCAGGCTGTGGACTGAAATTCCTACCAAGATCACAATTCACGAGTGAGTTGAAAGTGTTGCAAACTAAAGTGCAAAAGCATTTTTAGGGGTTCGTCTCAGAACAAAATGGTTGTAGATGTGTAATGTCAACACAACTTGGATGTGAAAAGGTAATCTGTTGCAGAACACAGAGCTATTAATGATTGTTAATCTTGGTAACTTTTGTGGATAGTTTTAAATGGAAATATTTCAATTTAATTTTTCGTGGTGTTCTTACAGGGAACAAGCTGGGGAAAGATGGAATGACCTTTCCTCAGACCAACTGAACTTGAAGTAATCTAATAGTGTCTAACATAACACGTTTGCTAGGCTGGAAGTCGGTTTTATGCTTCAAGCTCAACCGAAAGCCACAGTTGGAAAGCCAGAATTCACAGTTAGGTACAGCTGTTGCCCCAGAAACAGTTTGCAGAGGCTTTGGCCTCCATCCAGCCGAGTACTTAGGCACGTGTTAAGTGTGGGAGAAGGGCCCATTGATTTCAGTGGAAACCTTCTCTGACATAATGGATTTGATGGAGCAGCACCATTGGGCTAGACCCCGACAGGGGCTCTCTGGCTGTAGAAACAGAGGAAGAAGTACAGCAGTGCAGCAGGCAGCATTGCTTCTGTTAGTGAAGAGGAGGACTGTTTTGACGTAAGCGAAAAATCAGTGGTGCAAAGGAGGAGGTTGTCTGTTCCAAGCTGCTTTCTGCCGTCTTCCTTGCAGAAGTAGTAAACTCTGGCAGAGAGGACAGCTTATTGGGATTATTGAACTGCCACGGCAAGCTCTGAATGCTACCACCACAACAATAGCATTTCCCTGTCTCTTATTCCCGTTCACTGCAGCCCTTACTGGTACTCTTGGAGGGGAGGTTTGTGCATCCTCTTTGCGTATCTACGTAGAATCAGCTGAGCTCTACCCCTTCTCCTCCAGAGAACTGGCAGTAGTTTTACAGCGTTGTGATTGGTTTGTTTTTAATGTAATGACAGCTCATCCTGATATTGGAGGTGTTTAATTTTCCTTCCTTCTGTGCCTTGTATTGTAGGTATGATTCTTTCACAGACTCTTCAAGAAACGAAATGAAGAGGAAGTTTGCACTCACTATGGAATTTGTGGAAGAGTACTTGAAAGAAGTTGTAAACCAGCCCTTTCCTTTTGGAGACAAGGAGAAAAACAAACTTACATTTGAGGTACTTCTCAGCTATCTGCATCCTACTTACTCTATTCATTCTCATTTTAGCTAAATTGACACAGGCTCTTTCAAAATATAGTTGCAGAACAAATGTCACTGTGAAATGTCCCAAAGAAGCAGCAGTTCCTAATTCCGGTGGTTTTGATGGTGACTGTTACTGCAGAAAAACATACTGGCTGGTGTCAAAGAGCTGCGTTTTTCTTTCCTTCTGTGATGGTTGCATTTCAGTGGCAGGAGGGAGGGGTATGTGTGTGGGTGAATGGCCACATGACCTTTCTTTCCACATGACTGAATTAGCATGCAGGGATTCTTTAAAGTGTAAGTACTATTCGCTGTGTAAGATGTGACGCTGAAAGAAATACTCTGAATAACCTAATCCTGTGTTCTAAATATTGTTTGAAATTCCTGACAGAAACTTTAGATAGGTTGAAATCTTCTAGATTCAAATAGCAGTTAATAAAGAGGAAATACTTACAGCTTTTGTAGTTCTTCCTTCCAAACTTTGCCGGTCCTACCTTTGGTCATCTGAAATCAACTTTGTTCAGACTTCGCACAGCTGTCTCACTCTTCTTCTGACTTCGGTCTTCCCTGCAGCTGCTGCCTCTTTTCACAGTTTTCTGGACTCTTTCTTCTTCTCGAACTTCTATATTTTCCCAGATGCAATTCTATCCTTTCCCACCTGCCTAAATCTCATGTTAGTTTTGCTCTCTGTTGTAATTTGCCTGACCAATCACTTTGTCTAACTCTGAAAAGCATTTGATGTCACCGGCCTTAGTCCAAGGCCCATTTAAATCAGCGGGAAGATTTGTACTAATCTGAATGCACTCTAGACCTGGATCTCTCAGAAAGCTGCTGGGTGAAATGCAACCGTATTGCACAGCGGAATACCACCAAGGTTGCTGATACTTCATTTTTCATTTCTTTCTCTCATAGGTGGTACATCTGGCTCGAAACCTCATATACTTTGGCTTTTATAGTTTTAGTGAGCTTCTCAGACTGACCCGGACACTGCTGGCAATTCTAGACATTGTTCAAGTTCCTATATCATCATACTTCGAAAGGCTGAGCAAGTTTCAGGATGGAGGTGAGAGAAACAGCAAAGAATATTACTCGAGTGTGTAATTCGTTACTTAGGTTGGAAATAATTTATGAAATGGCTCATTGATCTTTCAAGGTTCTTTATTCACACATAAACCCACCTGCAGGGTACATTAAGGTGGCCAGCTAAAAAAGAACCTGTCTGAACAGAGCTGCAGACTGTGTGACTCGTGGTTCCTGTGTTGGTGCAGCTGCTCCTTTGCTTGGTTGGAACTGAACTTTCAAATCTGGATCTAAGCCTCAGTGTCCCTTGCACTGAACATCCCAAGCAAGTGCAGGCCTGGGCACAGCGGTTATGATGGCTCCTACGTGGTACAGGTGCTTATTAGTCATCTTGGCACGTCACTTAAAGGGACAATAAGGTGTTACTGGTCCCATGCTGCAGAAGCACCAGATGGAACTGCAGATGAGGCCATGCTCTGCATGTGTTTGTCAGTTTAGAATATTCCTTTTTTAACCCAGAGTGCCTGTCTGATAACCCCAGGACAATACTGTATGTCCCACTGCCTTTTCTACCGCGGCTTGCAACTGGGTTGAAGAATGAGCATGCCAGGAAGGTGCTGAAACGTAGCAGTTCAGTTTTCCTGCATGTGTGGAAGGGAGATGTGACCGCCGTGTGGGCTGAGGGTCCGGGAGACTGGCTGATGGCGAATTCTGTTTTCAGTGTGGCTGGTGCAAGTGGTATTTCACTGCCAGCTGGCCCACAGCACCAAAAAGGATGAGCTGTCTTGTTTGACACAACAATTATTTCCTATTCTCTCTGGGAGGCCTTTTCCCAGCCTTGAGTGTTCCTAATCATCACTTTGATCAGCTGCTCCTACGGATGCCCTGCGTGAGTGTGCCATCCTTCATAACTTTTTTCTTCTTTGAGGTTCACAGACTGTGGAGAAGTGTAGGCTGTCATTGTCATCTCTGAGCCAGGAAATCTTGCGTTTGCTTCTCTTGATCTTTCCTCCATCGCTGCCAGAACACTTCACTGAGAGCCCCTGGAAGTCATCCCTGCAATGCTCTGCACGCTGAGGCACGCTACAGCTGGCTGCAGACCCCCTACAGCACGAGAGAGAGGCTGTACCAGACACTTGGAGTGATATTTCCTTTTTTTGTCCCTGAAACGCTGCATTGCAGGCTCTCTTCTTAAATAGCTCTGGATACAGCTTGGCTCCAGATAAAATCTTGGCTTATTGGCAAGATGGAATATGCAGATGTGGTTCTTCTGTTTAGTTCTCCCTTTACTCAAGTCTTTAATGCTGGGTTATACATCTCATTCAGTGTTTTTACCTTCATTACCCATAAAATGGTGTTTCATCCTGAATTCCCTTTTATTTCTGTTGAAGGCTTTCCTTTCAGGCTGTATAGGAGAGGAAAAAACCACCCATTAAGTGCAAACAGACCTGCACTCTGTTATACTGATTTGCAGAGCGATTCTATGCAAATCAACGTATTTACTCTGAAATAAATGAGTGCAAAGGGATGCAGAAAATGTCACCACCAAAGCAGCCTTGTTAATAACGTTCAACCAGCGACGGGAGCCTTGTTGGAAACTTTTGTCACACATCTGTGTTTGTCTCACATTCTTTCAGCAAAAAGGGTGCGCAACAAAGGTGGGATATTTTGTGTGTCTTTGAATTAGTTCAGCCTTTATACAGATTCTTTAAACTTCTTTGTTGGTGTTAGTTGTCTCTGTGGATGTTTATGTTTTTAAGCACCGGACCAGTTCAGGTCAGGACGTGACAATCCACTGATGACCTTTTGGAAAAGATCTGTGGGTTGGTTTGGTTTTTCCCCCCTCTTTTCCTGCCAACTATACGGCTAAGAAAGCCCATTGCTTTCAGAGGGTTTTTTGCTGGCTCAGACTGTTGTCAGGCATGTCTGTCATGGTAAGGGATATCAGAGAGAGAGGTGTTGGCTGTGCTGGCTAGGCATGAAAAAAGGCATGGAAATTTTGCTGCGGAGAGTCGTGTGTTCTTGTGTTGAAATAGCTGTAAGACTTGCTGGAGAGGCCCTCTACAGTCTTTGACAAAGGAAAAGGCTGCCCATCTTTGGATGGGCATACCTTGTCTTCAGCACTCTTCTGGCTGCTGGGTCATAAAACACATAAACTGTGCATTCCCTTTGCAGTTGAGAGAGAAAGATTCGGAACGTTTAACTGCAACGCCCCGGCATCTTGCCATTCCTACTTCTTTCTCTGGAGATGCATACTTACCTACCCATGGGCAGCATCAGGCTATGAAGATGCACATACCAAAAGAAAGGCATTGTTTAGAAGCAGTTTAAGCAGTTTCATAACTCCTGTTTGCTGTGTTTGAGCACCCAGCTCATAGAACTTCAGGCCCGAAGAGCATATTTCATGCCTGAGGAAATATTACTCAAGCAAGACTGGGGAGTGTTTTTCATTAAGAAAAACCACACAAAACCCAATCAGCGTTAACTTTAGCTGAAGATTAAGATTAGAGAGGGAGCTCAAGAAGAAAGTGCCAGGTACTGCTGTTGCTGACATTCTGGAGACCACTGCTGTGGCTGAAATGTCAGCTCTTTGCAACTTCTGCCTAGCTTGCTTTCATGTGGAAGCCTGCTGGTGCGGAATGAGTCAGGCCATAGGGGCAGGAATTTGGCTGGCATAAATTGCTCTAGTTCCTGGGGCTGTCGGAGTTTGTGCCAGCTGTGTATTTGGCTCCACTCTTTTTTGACTTTCCCTCCTATTTAAAAAAAAACAAACCTGTTGTTAGGTAGCAGTCCTTTAAAACCAGCCCTGTGGTTGTCTTGCACACACATCCTGTCTGTGTCTGTGCTGCAAGGAGGTTTGAGTGATGCCCTAAACACCTGGAGCTCTCGGCTAGTTGTGTGTTCTCTGCCTTGCTAGGTATCACTTAGCCGAGGTGCGGTGTACCCACACTGAGCTAGAAAGAGCTGAGCTGTAGTCTTGGTGGCTGCCTCTGGTGTCCAGTCTTGTCAGACTCCATGACCTTGTGCCTGAGCCCACAGTAAGGTGCAGAAAGTGCTCACGTTTTCTGTCTGAGGGGTGGTGGTGGTCTGGAACTTACGTGTCTCTGCATGTGTTGGGCTGTAGGTGATGCTGAGGATAAGGGAGTCCTGACTTGAGACTGGGCTTGAGTCTGTGACAGGGAGACTGTGCAGTATTAGGGTTTTGGGAACAGGCCTGCTTAGGAGATGATTGTGGGTCTTAACGATGTGCTTGTACTTCTTTGTCTTCCAGGGGGAAGGGGAAAAACCAGGGGTCTCATTCTACAGTGCTTTGCATCTTGTGCAGTCGCTTCTACCCAAGCAAGTTTGACCCCAAAGGTACTGATGTTACCTGGGTCCTGTGGCGTCTGGATCCACCTTGTCCAGGATCCACTAGGGAACCTGAGGAATGAACAGGCCAACAGAGAAATTGGTCTTGGGAATTTCATCTGGATGGCCCCTCACTCTGACAGTGAGGACTGTTCACCAGGCAGAGCTGTGGGTATACGTTGCTTTTCAGTTTTGCAGCACGTACAAGACTGTACATAAAAGGTTCCCCTTTCCCTCTTGCACAGATATCCTCTCTATGACATGAAATTGAGTTGTTGAGAACATCTGCTAGTTGTTTTATCAGTTACCTGTCTTGGCCTTTTATTGTCCCTTTTTTCTTTTATACAATACTGATCTCTTAGCTATTAAGGGAAAAGGTTTACAATAGAATCATAGAATCATAGAATGGTTTGGGTTGGAAGGGACCTTAAAGATCATCTAGTTCCAACCCCCCTGCCATGGGCAGGGACACCTTCCACTAGACCAGGTTGCTCCAAGCCTCAGCCAGCCTGGCCTTGGACACTCCCAGGGATGGGGCATCCACAGCTTCTCTGGGCAACCTGTTCCAGTGCCTCCCCACCCTCTCTGTGAAGAATTTCTTCCTGACATCTAAAGTAACTCAGAAAAAGCCCGCTGGTTTTTGTGGTTTTTGAAAATGTACTGTCATTTTCTAGAATCGGGATGGTCCATTGAGTTTTTCAGAAAGTGTTTTCTTATTCATAACTTCTGTAGAATACGGACAGAAGGATTGTTCCCTGCCCTCGCTCAGAATGGTGGGAGCCCTCCCTCTAGTCAGTTAAGGGTAAGGATGAATTCTTCCTGTCTTTAGAGGAGGTCAGATTCTCCTCTCCCATATCTCTCCAGACGATGGCAAGGGTCACACTCCACAGCATCCTCTCCAGCAGGTGAAGCGTTCATATCACACCTCTGAAGACAGAGCACTGCAAGTAGGTGTCCCTCCGACACGATTAGTGGTGTCCAGATTTACACAACTTCTTTCTTAAGGCAAGTTAGCTTCTCTGAGTTGCAAAACTCATTACACTGATGTTCTTTAAAAGGAAAAAAAAAAGTTAAGAATGCACCTGTTGTGATTTTGTGTATATACTGTGAATGTGTGGAAGTGAATTATTAGTTTTGGAGATTATAAAAGTTATGGTGGTTTTTTTGGTTGTTTTCATAGAATCACAGAACGG